TTGGTATATACCAATCATTCCTACCAACATATACATATTGAATAAAAACCATATAACCCGAGCGCTTTCGAAAGGTGGACCTTTCGAGGGCGCTCGGGTTATATGGTTTTTATTCAATATGTATATGTTGGTAGGAATGATTGGTATATACCAACTATGCACTGATGATCAGACAAATCTAAATTATAGCAATTAAAACTATCTACAAATAATCTAATAAGCAATCTCTGATTCAACGACTGCATAGATGGTGGGGCATTTTGTAGGAACATATCCGGCATTTAGTCTTTTTTTTTTCTTTCTGAATATCTAAAAGGACATGTATTATTTTATGAGAAGTCCAGAGAGGTACACCGATCTATACTTGGAGGACATTCAAAGAAGTTATGATTAGTTTTTGTAAGTAGAGTTGGGTGATTTTTTTACCCTAACTCTGACGGTTGTCGTGGCATTGTTGTAGTAAATTATTTAGGAAACACTCACCATTCCCGAACTTCTTGTGAAACTTAAGAAAAACAACACAGACAACGAGCCAGAATCTCCTAGTGTTTGCTCTTGTCGAGATGGAAACAAGGTCGGATTCAAATGTAAAGTAGCAAATTGTCTGAGTTGTTACAAGTGTAGCAGGTATGGATGCGATCACAATGCATAACAGTTGCACACAAAAAATTGCCGTAAGAAACGTTAAAAAAGCTTAGGCAGACGACGTGCTGTCAAGCGCCTGTAAAGAAGTACGTTTGCGTACAGGAGCGGTAATCTTACGGATGTATCAGACGACTTGCCCTCCAATAGGGAAGAAAGCGAAGACGATTTCACGTGGTTCGAATCTCGATGATGCGAAGTAGAAGACAAATTTAAGATCAGGTAAGGAACGTAGAATACGAAGACACTTTCTGAGTAAAATGCAAGAAAATTGCAAGGATAAGAGGAGACAGAGGAGCACTAAAATAATGTCGAAATAACATGACTATAACGTGCGCATAGTCCACCTTGGAAGGATAGAAACTCCCTAATGACTGCTCGGACCAAAGAAAACACAGTAAAATGATCCCTGGATCATGCTCTACAGAGTGACGTGTCTCACTCTTAGGTTTCCCACCACCTAACAGCTGAATCAGAGATTGCTTTTCAAAATGTGGATAATGTAAGCATTTCCTATCAGTGATAAAACACAATATTTAGTGAAAAAATATCTACTGGTGATCTAAATCATAACGAGTAAATAACATCTATTAGTGTTTTATAATAAGTAGAAAATTTAAATATTAGTTATCAAAACTTTCTAGTGAAAACTGTCTACTGATGATCTAAATCATAACGAGTAAATAATGTCTATTAGTGATTTATACTAAATAGGAAATTTAACTATTAGTTATCAAAACTTTTTAGTGAAACTGTCTACTGATGATCTAAATCATAACGAGTAAATAATGTATATTAGTGATTTATACTAAATAGACAATTTAACTATTAGTTATCAAAACTTTTTAGTGAAAACTGTCTACTGGTGATCTAAATCATAACGAGTAAATAATGTCTATTAGTGATTTATACTAACTAGAAAATTTAACTATTAGTTATCAAAACTTTCTAGTGAAAAACTGTCTACTGATGATCTAAATCATAACGAGTTAATAATGTTTATTAGTGATTTATAATAACTAGAAAATTTAACTATTAGTTATCAAAACTTTCTAGTGAAAATTATTTACTACTGATCTATATCATAACGAGTAACTGAGATTTAAAACTAGTTAGTAGATTTAACAATTAGTTGTTGTTTATCAACTACAACAAGTAAAAACTACCTATTATCAATTGAAAGTTTGCTGGAGCGAATACTGTCTATTAGTGATCTAAACTATATTCGTGCATCCTGTATATCAGTGATATAAACAACGCTGGAAAATAGTAAGAACTAATGATATAAATCAGGCGTTTTCAAACTTTTTACTAGGCTTCGCTTTGAAAGTATTTCAGGTTGTGACGCCCTCCTCCCCTCACGCACACAAAGTGATAACAAATTATTGTACATACTCTAAAATAGCTGTTATCGTAACATTTTTTTATGATTTCGCGACCCCCACTTTGTATCGGGACCCCCAGTTTAAAAAACTCTGATCTAAATCATAAGTAGAACACATTATGTATTAGCGATCCACACACTCATTAGTAAACTTTAGGTAATGAGGATTAAAGTTATAACAAGTGAACATCTAGCCTCTTATAATTAAACATTAGCTACCAATGATCTACATTATGGTTAATAAACCTCGTTTAATAGTGACCCGAAGTCTTCCTAATGTATACCTGCTTCTCTCTAGGCTTATGATTTTAATGATAACATATGTTATTCAAACTCAATATTGATGATTTGACATTCATTAATTTGTGTTCCAAAATTCACCACTTTGGCTTGTTAAGAAAACTTCAGTACACAGCTGTATGAAGTCCAAAAATTGACAATATGAATTTTTAATAGTAAAAAAAAAAAACATTTAAAAATTTCTGAAAAAAGCCCGTTTTCGTATTACTTTTAAAACAAATAAAAATGTTAAACTTATTATTATTATTATATTATGAATGATAATTATCTTCTTCTGACAATTGGACTTAAAATATTTATAATGATTGTTTTGTAAATCAGATAAAGTACTTTGTAGCCCGAAGAAAATTCAAAGAAGCTCTAAAGCCTTATGACGTGAAAGACGTGATAGAACAATACTCTGCTGGCCATGTTGACTTACTGGCTAGAGTGAAAAATCTCCAAGGAAGGTGAGTAAAACTGTTTGGCTAGATATAAATACTCTACTGGTTACAATGATTTAATAGCTAGAGTAAAAAAATCTCCAAGGAAGGTGAGTAAAACTGTTTGGCTATATATAAATACTCTACTGGTTACAATGACTTAATAGCTATAGTAAAAAATATCCAAGGAAGGTGAGTAAAACTGTTTGGCTAGATATCAATACTCTACTGGTTACAATGATTTAATAGCTAGAGTAAAAAAAATCTCCAAGGAAGGTGAGTAAAACTGTTTAGCTAGATATCAATACTCTACTGGTTACAATGATTTAATAGCTAGAGTAAAAAATCTCCAAGGTAGGTGAGTAAAACTGTTTGGCTAGATATAAATACTCTACTGGTTACAATGATTTAATAGCTAGAGTAAAAAATCTCCAAGGAAGGTGAGTAAAACTGTTTGGCTAGATATAAATACTCTACTGGTTACAATGATTTAATAGCTAGAGTATAAAATCTCCAAGGAAGGTGAGTGAAACTGAATCGTTAGATATTAGTACTTTACTTGTTTACTGGCTAGAGTACAAAATCTCCATAGAAGGCGAGTAAAACTGTCTCGTTAAGTATCACTACACTACTGGTTACACTGGTTTACTGGACAGAGCGATTTCGTTCAACGGAAGCTGGGTTGAAAATGTTATACAAAAGGACAGTACCAGTAGAATGCTTATGCCTCTCATCTGCAGCCCAACTGGCAAGTTTTGGTACTTAACGAAAGGTCTCTTGGGTAATGAATTGTGGGAGACAAAAGATGAAATACATTTTTTACATACCTCTGATTTGTAATCTTCCGTGAAGATTAACTTTTGTTTTCATCACGTTTAAGCTCTGTATCGATCTCTAGCTTTAGATTATCAAGATACAGAACAGAAAGCTGTGAAAAACAACACGTGTTTAATGCTTATCTTACATGAGTTGTGGTAAAATAATATTCCTTAAAACATTTTTTTAACAATAGTGAATTTTTATTTTATTGTAATTGTTTGTTTATTAAGTAAGCTTACAACATAAGTGTATGTTTATACGTTTATATATATATACAGATAGGCACTTCAGTTATATTTTATTGTAAAAAATGTAGCTTAGGGTTGTGTTTTTTGTCACATATAACAAAGATTACTTTGAGGAATTTACGATTTGGGAGATATAACTTCAAAATTTTTATATCTCACATAAAACATCTTTTGGAAGGTTGGACTTAATATTGGGAAAAGCTGGATCAAAAGCTAAGGACGTTTATGATTCCAAAATCAGTTTGTCATCAAGAATTGTCAAAGTAGAACGTTCGGTAAGTCCACAGTTCTATTAATAAACGAAGAACCATTCTTAGTTTTAATAACACTGATAGAGCTGGTTTTCTTACACCGAGTAATGGGTTATAAAAATCATTAAACTACTGTTGTTTGGTTTTTCTAAGTCTTTTTAGTTTGTTTATTTCGAATTTTAACCAGAAGTGTGAAAAAAAATCAGTATTTGAGGTGTAGTAAAACAACTACAAATGTTACAGTTTAAATGTCAAAGTAGTAATCGGGACTTCCTGTGTTCAATGGATGCCGTATCATGCTGATTGGCTGCTTCAAGCGATCGGGCGGGGCTAGACGATGACGCCACGTAACAAAAACGATGGCGTCATAGCTCCACAAAAGTGGCACAAGAGGACACTACTATCTTTGGGAGTGATGTGATAACATCATAGTTCCACGAAGTGATACTATAGGGCGCGTTGATAGAGATGACGTCATAGTTTCAAAGAAGTGGCACTAGAGGGCTGGAAGTGGTCATGTCGCCATGACACTTGATAACTGAAGTTTTCTGCTGTCATAGAGCGCATTGCTAGAAGATGTCACATGACATCATAATTCTCAACAGAGAGCATGAACTAGGAATCATAGTTCCACGAAGTGGTAGAAGAAGGCGCATTACTAGGGGCAAATGCTGTTACCAAGGTTCTGTAGGCGGGCGGTGTTATTAAGGTCAGTGTTTGTATAGGTGGATGATGCTACTCGACAGATAGTTCAATAGAATGATGAGCTCATTGTAGGGTGTCTCAACATGTGATTATGTCATCAACGCTGTACTTTTTACCTCTAGATTTAATTATATGTCCTAAAAATTATAAGTAAAACAAATATTTTAGTAAGATAACTTCTATGGTATAGTATATTACGTATGTTAATTTTTATCACACATACTATCTTTATTATCCATTATTTGAATGAGGCTAATATTAGAGCATACTTTACATACTTTTACAATTGTTTGTCCTGAAAGGGTTTTATCATACCTAATGTATCGTTTTTATAAATATTGTACAAGACAATTACATTATTATTATTCTACAGTCGATTGTGCCTTTTATGATTTAGTATACATTTAACATTTTGTAGAATAGTTTTGGCTTTTATAATTAATTTTCGTAACATACTTTTTATAACTTACAATTTTTGTGTTTCACTTTATAAGTGTGTATATAATGCATTTTTCACTAGTTATAATGAACTATGATGTCACGTGACATATAGTAACGCACCCTCTGGCAGCAGACAACTTTCATCATCAAGTGTCATGCCGGCATGATAATTTCAGGCCCTCTAGTGTCACTTTGTGGAGCTATGCCGTAACCCTTAGCAATGCACCTTGTAATGTCACTTCATAAAACTATGATGTCCCTAAGACAGTAGCACCCTATGGTGCTACTTCATGGAACTATTATCTAGTCATCTTTGGTGTGTGGCATTATGACCTCATTGTCATATGTCGTATGTTCCTTGAGGCAGCCAATCCAGTGGGAGACAGCATCCTTTGGACACAGGACAGGACCCTAACTACTGCCTAAACCTGGCAAAGGAGTATGATCCAATAAGACAAATATTTGTAATAAAAATCACTTAGGTTCTAGATTTTTTACATCGTCATTCTGTCCATTTCGAATTTCACACAAGAAGTTTGTAAAACCCAGACTCTTTAGTGTAGTAAAGTAACTACAAAAGTTACGGTTTAAACGCCAAAACTCGGCAAAGCAGTAGAATACAATAGGACTAATATTTGCAAATAAAATCACTTAGACAGCAGAGTTTTTTTTTGTTTTTTTTTACATTCTTCTCAATTTGTCCGCTTCTGATTCCAACTAGAAATGTTTAAAAACAACAGCACCCTTCGCCAGCTTTCAACATTTAAACCATAACATTGAGTTATGTTGAAGGCATAGCAGGTTTTGTAAATTTAAAAATCGTACATCACAAGTTCTTGGTGATTCTAAGAATTTAGATAGACGGTTACAGTCTTTAAACGCTTAATTCTGGATACTTGAATGCGCTTTTGCTAATTAAACGTGACTTTGATATAACAGTTACTTCTAAAGATCGTACAGTCTTTCGTATTCGCTAAAGCACTGGGAACGTCTCATTAATACAAAACAAAAACGTGTTGTAAGATTGGAATTAAACCTTTCACATTTTAAGCAAACCATTACAGACTGTAACGAAATAAATGTAAAGGTAATTTTATCAATTTTACACTCATGTAAAATAGTTTTAAGTTTGGAGTGATTTGTGTATATTTAACTATTTTGTTTAATAAATGGTGATTATTGTTGTTGAAAGACACTATGTAATCAGACTAATTGAAAAATGCTTACCAAATCTCTACAGAATTAGCGGGAGGAAACTTTCTAGATATTAGCATTGTGTTTTTTTATTCCTCATTAATGTGCGTGTCTCTTTTAGTTATTATTGTTTGTAATGTAGAGTATGTTTTAAACACTTTTTGTTAAAATGAAATAACTTAGGCCTATTATAAATAAATACTATTATTGTTTTGTGATGAGCTTAGTACCAGTATTGTTTGACTGATGAAATAATCTGGATCCATTTAAATAAACATCATTATTTTTGTCAATATTATTATGTTATAAGAATAATTAACTGTAGATGTATTTTTATAGCAATTCTTATGCCTTTTTATTTCTAATATTTCGCCGGCTTTAGGGGAGACTTATTATAAGCTGAACACAAGTAGTGTTTGGGCACCTTCATGAAAGGAGCACCAGCATTGTTTAATACCCACTATCCTGAGTTGGACATCACTATAAAATGAAAACGATGATCGTTATAACGAGTTTCAGACCGCTATGAGATGTGTATCAATAATGTTGGGTTACAACTAAAATGATTTGAAAACATTCGTGAAATAAGTACTACTATGAGTTGGTGATCTATATTACAAAAGTACAAGTTGGACACCATTATGACTCAACAACAGTGCTGTTGTTGACCATTATTTTACTTGGTCATGATAATGAAATAAGCATCATTAATGTTTTTCAACTGTTGATAGGAGTTGGAGATTATTACGAATATAACATTATTATTTTTCTGTTTTTATAAATGAAATATAATTTTGAATTGATCACTAGTATTATAGTAACATATTCATTATGAATTGGCTACCAGTATTATTTGGCCATCAATACTTTGAGATGGATACAATTATAAAATCAACACAAAAAACGCTTGGCGAACACTATTATGGGGCGTGTTTTTTATGAGGTGGGCACTAGTGTTGTAGGTATGTGATAATGATTAAGTACTTTAGTTATTCCAAGCAAATTAATGATTGTACGGAAATAAGTTTACTTGATCTGATAGAATCACACAAAATAAGTATTACTTTAGATAAGCCATCGTGAGCATAACACTTTGTGGTTAATAGCAGTTAATGAATATTTTATTGCTCTACGTATTTAAATTAGCAATAGGTTTTTTTAAGAATTAAAATAGTGTAGTGTATATGTTCTTTCATATACAATTGTATTATTTTATTCTGACTTCAAGGTAGAGGATGTAGAAATGAAATTAGATCAACTGATAGAGATGTTTCTAGAAGACCGAAAACAAAGAACTATGACGGCTTCTTTACATAATCAAAGTCAAGCTCCTATTCAACCGAATATCATACACGCCACTCACACCCCGCCGACACTACCTAAACCAAAATCAATACTCGTTGATAAACAGGCTAGTGAGCCAAACACTCCAGTGTCTAAAAACTTCGACCGGCCCATGCAGCGAGGAAATTCTGACCTTAGTCAGAGATTAAAGAAACGTGTGACATTACGTCATTCGTTAGATACGACCACCCCCACTATTACGGACGTGGCAGTGAGTGAGAGTCAGGATCTTTCGAGTACAATAGAACAATCCACTGATACTTTTCCCTGCATCAAAATCGAGAAAGATTCTCACGTGGATTCGACAAGCACGCTCAATACCTCAGTGAATTCAGCGTCTCTGGACCAGCTCTCTGAATCAAGTTCCGCAGTAACGGAAGTGGAAACACTGGGTGAAATTGACACTAAAGTGAAGAAAAATAAAGATGGGCGCTTTGTCGATGGTGAAATCGACGATTCCGACTGTGATGTAAGCATCGACACTGTTATCCAACCAGAAATGGTGACTCTACTAAATGTTGATGATGTAAAAACGTAGAAAGAGCGAATGTATACACCGTAATCTCAGTAATTCATAACTATCCGTGTTTTTTTTTTAAACCATATCAACATAATTACAATCCTTTGACTTTGATTTCGATAAAATGTTAACAAATATAACAGTGGTTTAAAACCACTTCGTGCGTGATTTACTGAAATCGTGGTTAGAACGTGTAGAGACAACTCCGTGGACGTCACCATAATTCTCAATACATTCATCAAATTATTACATGATACAAGCAATAAAATCAAAGCATTCCGTCTTTTATTAGATAGATCTATGTGAAAAAATTAAAATGGTTTAGTAGAACAAATAGTAAATGTCGTGGAAGGTAATGTGGAAATAACGTAGAATTCAGGGTTTCGCAAAGATTCACAGCACAAAGCACATCCAATGAATCTACAGATACGGAGTATCTTAACAGTAGTGTTATGGTATAGCTACAGCACCCCTGACACTTCCCCTAGTTTGGGAATCCCTGATTTACATAATCACACTTTGTAAGCAGCATCGCTATATATTCCAGGGTACTGCTACAAGTACGTGTTATTATATATCAACAGAGTAACCGTTACATAATCACACTTTGTAAGCAGCATCGCTATATATTCCAGGGTACTGCTACAAGTACGTGTTATTATATATCAACAGAGTAACCGTTACATAGTCACACTTTGTAAGCAGCATCGCTATATATTCCAGGGCACTGCTACAAGTACGTGTTATTATATATCAACAGAGTAACCGTTACATAGTCACACTTTGTAAGCAGCATCGCTATATATTCCAGGGCACTGCTACAAGTACGTGTTATTATATATCAACAGAGTAACCGTTACATAGTCACACTTTGTAAGCAGC